TTTTTTTTACTCCAGGGGGTCTGGGGGAGGGGGGCTGGGGAGTCTGAAGTAATCAGGGCTGAAACTCACTCTATTGAGTTTCAAACCCTTATGCGCCTAGCGGGTTTCGAACTCGAGACCTCCCACTAGGCACGGTAACCCCACAACCAGTTGGGCTGGAATGCTTGGTTCTTATCAATTTATACGTTTTCATTCAAACAATTAATTTTTTGTGTAATCAGCATAATCAATATATCTGATCAGTAAAGTTTTATAATTAAAGTCTTAGTTTTATTATTATACCTTGTTATTTTAATATTTTTTCAATTTTTGTTGTGAATAATTATGATTCGAAAAGTCAAACATTGATATATAAAATACCTATAAAAAAATGGAGCAAGGCGGCTTAAATTGATATCACTGCATTCAGAAAGGGAACAAGAAGATAAAAGGAACACTTCCAACCGCCGACCCTCGAACCAGACTTAGAACCAATCACCCTGTAAAAAGCAATGTGGCTCGCTGATCCTATAATGGGTCTAAGTGAACCTAACGCGGTCGAAATAGCACCCTCATCACCCAATTCTAATGCAAGAGTGTGACAGAAATAAAAGTAAATGACAACAACCAAAACACTCTGATCAAAGCAAAACACAAAAGAGAAAACATAAAAGTGGGACTTCGTCCACATCCTAACCATCCCGAGCACCTTCCCCTGTCCTGGAGCGTCTTCCTGGTTCGCGACGGGTCTAGGGACCAAGACTCGCCCCTCTCCGTTTTTTGGGAAGTCCAGAGCCATGTTTTTCCCTCCACTATCCTCGTGCTGTTTTTCCTCCCACATCCTTCTACGTTTCTGCTCTACCGAGATCCCCTCTGTAATTGCTGCTTCACCCGCCTTAGCTTTATCCTTGCTAGCTTCCACCACGGTGAGAGCTCGTTGTTGCCCTTCTGTCCCACCCCTTCCAATTCTGTCGTTCTCTTTTTCCGGATGATTGTCTTGCTGAGTCGATCCCTTTCCACCTGAAGAACCTTCAAGGACCAACCATTTGTTGCCTCCCATCAGCCGAGATTTCCCTCCCCCTCCAGCACGGAGGCTAACCCCATAGGGTTTATTCAAAACTTTGTTCTCACACTCATAAGCCAGAGGGCAAAACCTGTCAGCATGACCAATAATACCACAAGCAAAACAAAAGCTAGGAAGTTTCTCGTACTTAAAATCCACCCAATGGACTGTACCTCGCCCCTTCCTAAGAGTCATACCTACTTTCAAAGCCTTCCCTACATCCATACAAACTCTAATTCTCATATAGGAATTCCATCTCTCCTTAAACTGACTTTCATCTAAGCTGATAAACTTGCCAATAAAATTACCAACTCTCCTAGTCACACCTAAATTCATAAAATCATAAGGTACATTATGCACCTGCACCCAAAAATCAGCCTCATATAGGGGGACCCGAAGGGGAATGTCTCCCGGCTTTAATGCCCTTAGTACCAGCAAGTTCTGTTCAAAAAGCCACGGACCACTGCCAAGCACACGTTCCGTGTCGATAATGTGATAAAAAGTGAATAGATACCTTTTTCGCCGATCTCTTTGATTGAGATCCCTTTTCCAGAGCCCCATAGAGAAGCCATGAGATCCCTAAACACCGTAAATTTCACCATTCTGTCCGTGAGGAGAGTACTCACGACTGGGAATGTAGCACTGCGATCCAAGTCTTCTCCCTCGCCAACTGACTCCTCGTCAAAAACCAGCTCATCCCCATCTCCGCCTCTGTCCATGTTGTTATATCTGTCTGCGATGTCCTCCATCCCAAGCAAAAGCTTGATTCTCGTCCGAGAGGTTGTTATTGACTGCGGATTTAACGCGCTCCGCCTCAAGGAGTACACCTGCAATGTTGCTCTGCTCTACCACCGAAGGATGCTAGAAGAAAGATGAAATCAAGCCCTACAGGGGAGAAGCAGAATTCATGTCCGCCTCTGCCTGCTTTGTCTATGAGCGAATCGCCCAATCGTGCGCAACTCCACAAACCCTACTCAGAGGGAGACGGTCACATTTTTGCGCTTAAAATACTTAAATTTAGAATGTAATTTTGTTGTTGTTACTTTCGACTTATTTTAAAAAATAATAATTGAAAATTTTAAAAGAGAATAACAGTAGGATCTTAATTTTAGCATTTTAATCATTCTTAGAAAAGTTTTGGCTCTGAATATCTCTTGAAACTTCAATTTGTTTTAAAACTTTATATATACAATATCGATGTCATATGAGAGAACTTAAAAATTATAAAATTTTTATATTTATTTTATAAAATTTAGAGCACAAATAAAAACTTATAACCCTATAAAGAGAAGTAGAACTATTTCTTTTATCTACCCCTCCTTTCATTTCCTTTTGTTTTTCGCAAAAGGTCGGTGCCTCCCAACTCCCAAGCTCTCAAACAACTACCTCCTCTCTTTTCCGTGAATAAGCAAACGGATTCCCGTCCCCATGATTATCCCAACTCACTTTGACATCCTTTGTTGGTCCAAAATAGGACGCTCGTAGGCTTTTAGGAAAGCTACGTACGACACTCAAGCAAGAATTAGGAAAGTACGAATATGGAAAGTTAGCCAGAAATAGCATGTAGAATTTGCCTCCTTAGTTTGAATTACAAAGTGCCTTTTATAGGCGTATACAATTCGTAACCGCTACCGATAATAATGACTAATTAATTACAACATTAATACAGAATTAAATACATAATTAAACGCACATTAATTGCTTGACTGTTAGTTTTCCTGGCTGGCAGGTCGGCTGAACTGGCAGGTTCCCCGTTGGGATGGTAGGCAGGCTCCAGGTTGTGGACCTGGATCCACGGGTCCAAGTTCGGGGCTTGGGTCGATTAGGCTCTGGGCCTAGCCCCATAACTCCATCACGAGTCCCCCACTCCCTTAGTCGAGTAGTAGACTCGACTAAGAAGGAGTAGTCCAAGTCAGCTTCCCTTCTCCGAGACTGGAAGATCTCTGCCCTTGTCCATGTTGGGGAGATGCCTCGTTAAAAACCTTCATTAGGAAAAAAACTCAATGGAAAAAAATCCTAATGAAGGGAAAAAGAGTACACCCGATGCCCCCAAGATGAAGCAAAGGGTGAAATCTTCAGCCTTTATTGCAATGGTCACCATCAGCAAAGAGGATGACTAGAATCGTTCTTCTCACCGGGCTCGGACTCATCAGGTTTGTCTTCGTTCAGTCGTACCTACACGTAAAGCAACAAGTGTAGAATAGAGCATTTGACCCGGTTCTGAACAATGGTTCAGTGAGTAAGCGAGTCAGACTCACTACTCGAAAAGAGTGACATCAAGTTCCCAAGTTAGGCCTCAACCCAGTCTCCGAAAGGAAGATTGAATCCGCGAGTAAGTGACTCGGAGTCACCATTCGAACGGATAATCCAACCCCAGTGAACTAAAGTATATCAACCTTTTCGGGAAATGTGAACGTCAATTAAGTGACAAAATTGCTCGGAAGAACGTGGTTCTAGGCCTCTAGCAAGAGTTTAACTCGCCGCCCGAGGTTAGTAGTTCGAACCCGCAAGTAAAAACTTTTGAACGGGTGACTCGTCCCCCGAGGTCGGAGTGTGATGCACTAGGAAGAGGTAAGAGCACACAAGAACTCGTATGAAGTCAAGTGTACGGTATCAACATTTATATTGGAGCTTATTAATCGTCACACCCATATGACGTGACCCGGTGGCGCGAGTGTGTGTGCTCGGCCAGTGTACGAGTGTGTGTGCTCGTCCGGCGTACTTGAATGATCAGATTTCATAAGTCCGTTGTTCAATGTTAAAATTACACACACTTAACAAGAGTAAAAGCAATATATCACTTAAAATATCTATTCAAATGTTTTAATTTATGATTTTTTTTGTATCAAATATAGAGGATTTTTGGAAACTTAGCTTTAGAACCAAACGGGCCCGAATGAGTTGCTGAAAATGCAGCCCATCGTCATCCTTGAGGAGAATCAAATTTGGTCTTAGTATAATTTTGGCACATTCACTTTAACGCAGAGCAGACTTGCTCCATAGGAATTAGGTGGGCGCACATTTGAAGGCCTATCTCATGAATAGGCATGACGATGAGGGAGACCAGCAGCGACGTCGGCGCGCGGCATCCAGCTGTGATTGGCGAAGAGAACAGGAGGAAGTGGAACCGTAGCACCTTGGATTGGAATGAATTTCTTGATTTTTTTTCCTACTAAAGTGATGTGAGAGATCAATAGAGGCTCTCAATGAAAGCACCAATGTTGGTCCAAAATAGGACGCTCGTAGGCTTTTAGGAAAGCTACGTACGACACTCAAGCAAGAATTAGGAAAGTACGAATATGGAAAGTTAGCCAGAAATAGCATGTAGAATTTGCCTCCTTAGTTTGAATTACAAAGTGCCTTTTATAGGCGTATACAATTCGTAACCGCTACCGATAATAATGACTAATTAATTACAACATTAATACAGAATTAAATACATAATTAAACGCACATTAATTGCTTGACTGTTAGTTTTCCTGGCTGGCAGGTCGGCTGAACTGGCAGGTTCCCCGTTGGGATGGTAGGCAGGCTCCAGGTTGTGGACCTGGATCCACGGGTCCAAGTTCGGGGCTTGGGTCGATTAGGCTCTGGGCCTAGCCCCATAACTCCATCATCCTTGTATACCTTGGATTGCAATTGTTTGGGTGAAAATATAAAAAAGTATTTTTCACCCTAGGGCTACGGACCTACGGTCAGCCTTAGGCTAATTGAAAACATATTCACTCAGTCAATTCAATTTTAACTGCAATTAAACATTGTCAATATATTCACCTAAGAAAGTTTTTTAATTAAACCCTTGCTTTTATCTGTATACATTGTTTCCCATTTTTTGTGAATTGTTATGATTTAAAAAGTCAAACATTTCGATGTAATAATAATTAAATTGGAGCTTAATTTTTTTATTGTGTTAAATTGGAGCCGATCGAGAGACGAGATCGATGGATTCATAAAGCTTTCTTTTTCTTATATAAAAGAGTGTAATAATAATCTGGACTCTCTTCCTCATTCTCCTCCTTCTCATTCTCCTCTTTTTCCGATTTTACCCTATCTTTTTGGATTTTGAATTGATTTTGCCAATTTTTGAACTTTTATTCCGCACTTCGAATTTCTAAGTTTAACAAAATGAATTTCAAAATTTTTGGATGAAGACTTTAGATTTGGCCAAGTTTATAACACAAGTGTTTACATTGACAATCGTATTATGGAAAAAACGCTTCTGTATAAATGGGCTTTTCTGATTCTTTTTGTCAATAGCTTTGTATCTCGAATTTTTGTTTGTGTCAAAGTGCGTATTCTATTAAAAACTTTAAATTTTCGGATATTTAGTTATTTAGTTCATGTTTTTGCCAAATTTTGACAGTTCTGTGTCAATGGTCCAAGATAAATTTGCCAACTCTATGGCAGATTTGGAAGCTTTTATTGATGGCAGATTTGAACGCCAAATCTGCCAACTTAATGACAGATTTTATGATGCCGAAGTTGTAACGGCGATGACCGTGCTCATAAGTGAAGTGGCAGCTATGAAGTTGATACTGATGGTGCTTGAATGGTGGCAGCGGCGGCGGATGGTGACGCCGGTCAGGCGGCGATGGTTGGCAGCGCGACAACGATGGAAGCTAAGGCAGCACCAGCGACAACAACGGTTGGCAGCGCTAGTGACGGCATTGTCAGATGGCAACATCGTGGGTGGCTGAATTGTTACAGTTAAAATTTTAAAGTTTAATGAAATTTAAATTTTACATTTTAATTATAAATTCAAATAAAAAATGATTAGGGGCATTTTGTACAAATATATGGTGTTAAGTCCTATGAAACATATATCTGATTGTTGGTCCTATTAGTGCAGATGGTCCATATGTTAGTCTTTTTTTTAAAGGAAAGGGGAATTTTATTCAAAGGGAAAAGTAAACAGTACTGGTAAAAAGAAATGAAAAAAGAAAATAAAAGAAAGAAAATACAACCGAACAGAGAAAGTAAAAACTAAAATTACACCCAAGGAAATTCTCTAGCCCGAGACCTAGTAATCATGTTGTGCCGCCTTTTATTTTTCTGAGATTTTCTGTATATTTTGATCCGCGTGTTTAGGTTTTCTATCGGTATGTAATTTTCATAGGTGACAAACTTCGATTTCCTACAAATTGCTGTGTTGAATTTTTATATGTTAGTCATATATAGGTAATTAACTCATTTATCAATAGTTCAATTGATTCAGCTAGAGGTGTCAAATGGGCCAACCCGACCAAATCCGACCCGGCCTGTGATGAGTTATGCTTTATGTGGGTTGTGTGACTTGAGTCGGGTCAACCCGTTTAATGACGGGCCCTTATTTCTACAGCCCTAACCTAACCCATGGATTAAACAGGTTGGCCCGTGGGCCGACGTAAAAAATATACTCCCTCCGTCCCTAAAAGGATTGCCAAGTTTGACTGGCAAGTAGAATAATAAAGTAAAAACTGTGCAATAGAGATTTGTGCAGAGGAGAGAGAAATAACAGGAGCCACAAATTGATTGATTAAAATGGAAAGTGGTAAAGTTTTTAGGATAACAAAAAAAAATTGACAAAGTTATAGGGGACGGAGGGAGTATATGACAAAAGATTCTTTAAAAATAATTACCCTGAAGTATATGTTTATATTAATAAGTAGTAGTAAAGGAAGTATAAGAAATCAAAATACTAAGAACCCAATACTTGTTAAGTTTAATTAAAAAATATTAAATTCTTGTACTAGTTATGTCAAAATTTGAAAACTATAAGAGAGTATGTAACCAAAATACCCATTTTATGAAATTAAAGATGTACTTAAACATTTTGAGTGATTATTTGTAAATCATGACTACTAATTGTTAAATATTATATCAAACTTTACATAAAATATATGTTCCAACAATTTATTTGAATATTTATTATAGAAATAATAATTATTTTGCAATGGTTGTAATTTTTTTAATTGTTATTATAATAATTATAGTAGTAAAACAACAATAACGAAGATAATAAAAGTCAAAATTATATGTTTGTATATTGACTCGCGGGCCAACCCGCAACCCGTGTGAGCAACCCACTTAAACCTGCAACCTGTGTGGGCTGACACGCGAAGCACGCGAACTAAATGAGTCAGAAAATCAGAACCCTAACCCATCAATAAATGGGTTTAAATGGGCTAGCCCACGGATTTTGGGCCATTTTGACGGCTCTAGATTAAGCCAATTCAGATGTTTTAGTCGATTTTATAAATTTCAATCAATTGTAGTGTTTCCGAACAGCCTCCTCATTAGTCTAAGGCTATGTTTGACACGCATAAGTCTCTACCTTCTAGCTTTTGGACTGTTCAAAAAGTGTGTAAAAGCTTCTAGTTATATGTTTGGCATGACAATTTTTAAGAGCTTTTCAAAAATTAATAGATCTTTTTTGAGATGCTACGGGGAGTAGCATCTGAAAAAAGCCCGTGACTTTTAGTATTAATTAGTCCTAACAGCTTTGTTGAGTTTAAGTCTCGAAGGCCCAAGATCAACCTTGGATCTAGGGTAGGATTGCTACAGTAAAGTGTATAAAGAAATATAAAACTGATTGATTCACTCAAATAGTCCTGCTTGTATAAACGTGGTAATAACAATTACACGGAAATGGCCGAACGGTAGTTACGGTCCGAATGCTAATACAAGAGCTACAATGCAATATAAGCTAGTGAGTAAACAAATGCTAACCCCTTTCAATGAAATAAATGTTGCTATTTATACTAGTTGGGGGTAGGTGAGGGGTATGGGGTGATCTATCCTTATTGGCTGCTTTCCAAGCCACTTGTGCACACATGCTCCTACTTGAGACCTCCATACTCCAGCATTAAATGCAGCCTCCCACTTAAGAGAATCTCCGATTGGTATTAATATCCGCTAAGCTAATGATCCGGAAGAGAACTAATTATCCAAGTGTTAATTACCCCCCGCTCGAGGCCACCTGTTTCTCCTTGGGCTTTTTCCCCTGCTCTTGGGTCCCAGGGATATTTTGGGCCGGTATACTGGGCCGAACCCTAATATCCCATCACAAGTCCCCCACTTCTGATGTTCCGAGCGTGCTCAGGACATGAGGAAGTTGAAAAGTAATCTTCCTGTCATTCAGTGTGACCCCGTGTGGCGTTCTCGGCTAATATCCCGTCTGTTCTTGACATGAAGGTTCGAAATTCTTTGGCGACTGTCGCTTGTATTTCCAAGGTAACGTCATGATTACCTGACGCTTCGCCTTCATGCGACATGTGTCCCTGGGGACGCTCCTCGTGACATGTCCTCCTGGGATTGGTCCGTAAATCGGGGCCTTTGGGTTATAAGTATGATTTTGGGCTCTTGGTCCCGGGTTTTCGAATTTTGCATCTTCGTTCAAGAGCTCTGCCTTTTCCCAAATCCCTAATTTCCCAAGTTCGCTCAGGTAACCACCAGTCCTTTATTTCATTTTTCCCTTTTCTAGTTTTTTCGGTTCGGGGCAAATGTCGACGAGCTCTAGTCCTTTTGACCCTTTAGTCATCAAACCTCTTCGAGGTTCTCAGGTGAATGCCACCGTTAATGATACCGCGGGCACTAGCGCCACCGCAGAGACTGTGGCCGAGGATGGCCCCTCTACTAGTGGTTCCGAAGACGCCCACCCCGACAAATCTTCTAGTGAAACCTCGGGCGGTGATTGCTGACGGTGCGGGCGTGGGGGCCGCTCGAGCATCCCGCGTTCATATTTCTTGAGATCCTCTCCCTCGAGGCATCCATCATCACGAAGGGACTCTTCGACCTCCGGTGGAATGGGGGAATCGGTGGGAGAGTCCGAAGACTAGGCGGAAGGGCTAGTGGCCTGGCCGCTCGGGCCGGCCTTTCCCCTTGAACGACGAATTAGAACCATGTCTTCCTCGTCTGAAGAAAAATAGCCGGACATAAAAGAAGAAAAAGAGGTTGTAAATACCTCAAAAGAGAGAGAGTTTGGAGGGTGTCTAGAGAGAGAAAGATAACAGCAGGGCAAAAGCCAAAGAAGCAGCAGAAAATAAGGAAGAACCAACTTCCTCATATTTATATAGGAATCACTGTCCTAGAACCAAATCCATGGGGGACACGTGGTAACAGCTATATGGATTACGTCAGAGGTCATGGATACGAGGATATCCCGAACAGGGTCAACACATTGTGATGAACTTCTAGCCATCCTGAATGGTGTAATGACTAGGAGGATTTTTCCCCTGGATGATTCATCAGGCAACAGCCCATTGCCATCCTGAACGGTGTAAGGACTGGGAGGATTTTTCTCTGGGTGATTCATTAGCCAACGGCCCTTAGCCATCCTGAACGGCATATGGGCTAAGGGAGACAAACTACGCAACTTTTGATGCCCCGAACGCCTGCATGTTGCCAAAGAAAAACGACTAAGGTCCAGGGGTTTAGGGGACGCATTCCTAAACCAAGAACACTGGGAACCCGAACGGGGAAGGATAGCCAAGGAGGCAGCACACTAAAAAGCTTCTCCCGAATTGGTAAAGGGGGGCGTAGCAAAATTTAAGGGTTAATCTAAAAACCCGAACAGATCATTACCGGAATGAAAATTTAGGAGAAGGGCCCCAGCTTGAGCCGTATGCATTTCAAGGACCCTGAACAGGACCAAGATGATACGAAGAATTTCTAAGTCCAAAATACCAAGTGAGGAAGTTCGAGCGGCCAAGAATGATAGTAAGAAAAGGAAGTAAAGGTATGACATGGAGGAACATATAAACAACATTTAGGCAAAAGGAGTATCTTTACTCTTCGGAGCTAACAGCCGAAATGTACATCAGAGATTAAAGAGCAAAAAAGAGATAAATGAATTACACAAAAGAAACTATCAAAATAACTGCTGACTGGCATCCTATTCTTCGGCCTCATCGTCGGCCTCATCTTCAGCTTCGTCATTAGTTGGAGGATCAGGCTCCCTTCATGCATCCTGATCGGCCTTCCTCTGTAGGTTCCGATGGTATTCGTCAAACTGCGCTAAGAGGACCCTGTCCTCGAAGAACTCTGCCAGCTTAACCGGCTGGCCGACAAGCCGCTCCAGGATCGACAACATGCCCTCCATAACCCGCTGGCAGGTGGAGACATAGGTATTCTTAGCAAGAGCATCGACCCCCTCCTTGTCGACCGCAATTTCATCGGTCAGCTTCACCCCCTCTTCAAGACGAGCTGGGCTTTTGGGGAGCTGTTTCAAGCGCTTCCCGAACAGGGCACCTGCCTGAGCCAGTGCGTGCTCCTCAGCAGCCTTTTTGAAATCCTCAGAGGATAGAGATGCGGCCCGACCTGCTGATAGAACGGTGGATAAGTCCACCTTAACTTCCCGGGGGCCATCCGGGATCTCAGGCTCACATTGCTGAAATGAGATCTGAGCAGCCTCAGCAGCGGCAACCTTGGCCTGAGAGCTGGCAAGATTCACCCGGAGTTGACCAAGCTCAGCTTCGAGTTTCTTCTACTCATCCTCAACGGCCCGCAGCACATCAGCAGTTGCATGCTCCGCCGATATCCGAGCTCTGAGCAGCTCCCCCTCCCTTTCCACCCGGGCGATTTGGAGCTGTACGCAATAGTAGTCGACCTGCAGGACAAGGCGGTTATTTACCGAACGACATGTAAGATGAGTAAGGAAACAAACGGTTGGAGTTTACCTTAAGAGAGGCCAGGGCCACCCCTGTCTGAGCCTGCTCGACCGTCAGCCTTGGGAGGTGGTAGTCATTGAGCATGGCGGAGGTACTCCAAACCCGACCAGGCTGGCATCCCCCTTGTTCTATAATCGTGTGGATCAGGTCCTCCAAAATGATCGGTTCGACAAGTTTCGATATGTTGGCCTGTTCGGCCATAACGTTGGCAGCACCGAACGAGCTCGGGGCTTCAGTGAAAAGAGGATTGGAGTGCAGGTCCCCCAAACGGTTGATCCACCACCATGGCATCGAAGTTCACCTGCTCGAAAGGAATCTGTTGAAGTGGCTCGGGCTACTGGACCACAGGCTGGGCTGCAAGTTGAGTTACTTCAGAGGCCGAGGTCCTGACCATCTTCTTGGAAGTCTTCTTCCTCTTGGCCGCACCCATTTCCTCGAGACGGTTCCTGTTCATGGTTGTTTTCTG